CCCCTACCCCCACAGCCCGTTTGTCACCCTCAGCTTGTGGCGATGGGGGGCACAGAGGTACCACCGAGGCGTCGCCCCGAGCAGGTGGTAGAGATCTCTGCCCTGCAAGCCCTGGGGTCACTACTGCTGCTGGGGCCACTCGGGGGTCCCGTCCCTCCACAAAGCCCCCCGGGATCACGCAGGAGACAGTCTTCTGCCCAGCGCGGCCCCCGGCACCGCTGTCAGGGGGAGAGAAGGGCTACAAGGGGTCCAAGAGCTCAGGAACCCAGAGCCTGGAAGATCTGAGTGCTCGTGCACAGAGATGGGAGGAAACCCCCCTCTCTGGGAGCATCTTTGCACTGATTTTCCGGAGGAAAGCCTGGCTGTGACCTAGATAGTGTCCCAGGACATTCAAAGAGGAGCAGGTCGAGGCTGAGAAATGACAAAGCAAGGGACGGGGCGGTTTCTAGGAACCCAGAGGAAACTCGGGTAGTCTCCTCCATCGTGCCTTTGCCCCCATTTGCAACCTCTTAGTTGTCAAGACCAAACAGAAGGGAATTTTTCTTCCTGGACAGGGTTTGGGGTTGCGGACATAGGGATCTTTCACAGCTCCAGAGTGAGCAAATGGTTTTGGTATTTCCTCTTAGAACGTTATATGAAAGACCAAAAAAATGCTAAAAACAAAAATCCGGCTGGCTGCAGTGCAGGCAGTTCTTAGCTCTTCCCTGGATGCCGAGCCAGACTCCGAGGGAGCAGATGGGGGGTCTGCCATCTCCTCTGCCAGCCTGGAGTCCCCGACGGGCTGTTAATTTACCTCCCCCTCTTGGACCTGGCCCCACATCCCCAGCCCCGAGGACCGACTGCAGGGCGCTCAGTGCGTCCTTCAGCCCCGGCGTCTGCTTCGCTGCTCCCCCACCCGCTCCCTCCATTCCGCATGTCTGCGGCTGGATTCCCCATGCGGCTGTTTGGCTGGGCTGCAAACCCTGAGTTCATTCCTCTCAGCTGGATCGGACTGCCTGCAGCCCTGCGGTTTTGATGGCACATCTGTGGGGCCTCTTACCCACGCAGACCAGGAGGCAACCTGAAGAAAGACAGGCACCGAGCCAGGGACCTGGAGGGTGGACTCTGTCACCCCAAAACCCTTCCACACTGGCCAGGCAGGCTCGGCTCAACCCCCAGAGACTTGGTGCCATCCTTCAGCAGTCTTGGCTCCCTGTCCAGCTGCCGTGTCCCTCCTTCTCGCCGCTCTTGGCCCCCTTCCCTCACTGCATCGCCATGAGTCATCTTCGCTGAGCTCACCCCCTGGAGCCGCAGCGGGGCTGGCCGGCCCGGAGCCCGCCGGTGCCGAGGGGGGGTCGCTCACCTGGCAGCACGCTCGCCCGGACCTGCAGCCCCCTGCTGCCCACGATGTGATTTCTCCTGCCTGTCCCTTGTCTGGGCACCCAGCCTGGGCACGGAGCAGAAGGAGGGGAAGGCAGCACATGGAGGCCTCGCTGCAGGCAGCTGCGGGTCTGTGCCACGCTCATTTAATGTCTGGGGACGGGGCGGGGGGGAAATACAGACAGGGAAAAGGGAGTGTAGCCAGAGGATATGGAAAGGTGATGCTGGCCAGACACACGGTGCCCGATTCCCTAGCTCATCACGGGGCCAGACCGTCCCTGTGCAGTGCCTCAGGCGTCATGATGAGGAGCAGGCTGCAGAGCATCGTTTGGGCGAGAAGAGGCAGCCTGCCCACCCGTGCCACGTGTGCCCAAGTCTGCACCACCGAGGGCCCACATCTGTGTGCCGGGGCGATGGCCTGGCTAACTGCCTCTCTCTCTCCCTGCCCAGGCTCCCCTCCCAGTGACAGCCACCGCCAGGCACCTCAGCGGCGAGATGAACCCCACCGTCGGCATCGCTGTCATCCTGACAGGTAGAGCCGGCAGACGCGCATCCCCCTCCCTGCCCTCCAGCGAGCTCAGCCCAGAGCAGCCAGGCAAGGGCCTGGAGGCTGCATGGCCATCCCCAGTGCTTGCTCTTCCCTGTCCAACCCCTTGCTTGCCTCTCCCAGTCCTCCAGGCCGCCCACTGCCAGATGGTCAAGGACCTGAGTGCCTGCCTGCTGGGCCAGAGCCTCCGGGTGGACTGCCGCTATGAGAACAAAACCAGCAACCCCCTGACCTACGAGTTCAGCATCACCAAGGACAACAGGAAGCACGTCATCCACAGCACCATGAGCGTCTCCGAGAACATCTACCGGAGCCGAGCCAACGTCACCATGCACAAGAACCTGGTGTGCCTCTACCTGCAGAGCTTCACCACCAGCGATGAGGGTGTCTACATGTGCGAGCTGAAGGCCGCCAGCGACTACACCAGCAACCAGAAAAAGAACATCACTGTCATCAAAGGTGAGATGGGCAGTGGCGCCTGGCCTCAGTCCCTCCTTCCCACCTGCTCCTTGGCTTAGTAGGGCCAGCAGAGAAAACCACGACCCCCTGTGGTACCCCCAAACCCTCCCTGAGCCACGTAAACACTTCCCAAGGTTTACGTGCCCTTCCTACTGCGCGCGGAAAGCCGCAGAGACGGCCTCAGACTGCTTCCCCCTGCCTTCCTCAGGCCCCACCTCAGCGTTGTCCCATGGACGATGCTCCGTAGTCAGTCCCAGCAGATGGGATGAGCCTGCTGGTGAAGGCTGAAGAGGTCTGTGGTCCAGAGCAGGAGTGCAGTGGGGATTTGCCACACGTACATCCCACGGGAGCAGTCCTCCAGCTGCAGAGCCCTTCGTCTTACCTGGTGCCCATCCCCTTGCCACCTCAGTCAGGCCCCTGCAGGGTTATGCTTCCCGGGGTCTCTTGCCCTCAAAAGCTTTGCCGCTATGTGAGCACAGGGTGGGAGGGGAAACAGGCAAGAGGCCAGGATGAGACTTGGTGCCTTTCTGTGGCCGAGAGAAGGCAAGAAGCTGAGTCCCAGTACCCTTACAAAACCCATCCTGATCCCTGTTCCCGGGGGATTTCAATGCAGCTCTTCACTCCCTCCCCGTTCCCTCTCCTCGCAGACAAACTGGAGAAATGCGCCGGCTTCAGCCTCTTGATCCAGAACACTTCGTGGCTCCTGCTGCTTCTCCTTTCCCTGCCTCTCCTGCAAGCTGTGGACTTCGTGTCCCTGTGAAAGGAAAAGCACACACACGCACGCACACACGCACGCACGCACACACCGAGTCCCCCAGCAAACCCGCCTCCCCCGCCAGAACGCAGCCCTTGGAAAGAGAAGCTGAATCATTTGGAACAAGTGAAACCTCTCTGTGTTATCTCTATATAGCCGTATATCTAACGCTAACCACCGTCCTGTGCCAAGACCCACCATCACACGCACACACGCCCTGCTCCGAAGCATGGTGGCTCTGCTAGGCAGCATTGCTTCTCCCATCGCACCTCCCCGCTCAGTTTTGCTGGCTGGTTTGCTCTTGCTGGGAGCACTGGAGCCTCAGCCCCGCACAGCCCGCTCCCCCATCCCTTTAACTCTTGGGGTTTGCCTGTTCTCCACTGGGGGAAGACAGCTGGATGGGCAGGTAAGAGCGACAGCGAGAGCGTGCGGAGGGGTCCCCATGCTGGGTGCTGTGCCCGCAGCCCCTGGAGGAAACGGGGGCCCCCCCTCGGTGTCCCCAGCCCACCCTGCCCGCTAGCCAAGTGACTCACCGATTTCTCAGCCTGCTCCTGTCACCCTCAGTCACCCTGAGCTGTCGCAACTGCAAGGGGGCATGAGGTGAGTCCTGTCTCAGAGCAGGCTGGCAAGAGCCAGGGAGCAGGGGAGGCGTGGGGTGATGCTGGGCCTGGCTAGGCTGGGCCGAGAGAGGGGAGCGGGTCTAGGAGACACCCATCAAATGCCCCTGCCTCCTTAGGGCTCTCTGGGGCCCTGCGAGGGGGCTCCCTGCTAACGGGCTTTGGCAACAAGTGTTTCCTAATCTGTTTCTAAGAGCCGAGCTGGAAGAGAGGCCTCCTCCAGACATCACCTGGTACCTTTGGGCTGCCCCAGCCCAAGGTACCACTTTGCTCTCCCCAGGGACCAGCCCTTAGCTGTGACGAGAGAATTTCTGCCAGCACCCGCTCGCAGCGGAGGCAAGCAGAGGCCTCTCTGAGCTAGCCACAGCCTTGCCTTCGCCCCTGCTCCCCTCCCCACAGGCCCCAGAGCTGGATCCAGTCAGGCTGGTGGGGAGGGGACTCCCCTCCGGGAGCATGACCCCAAAGACTCCTCTGCACCATCACCTTGTCTTCCCTGAGAGAACGTCTGGGGACACTGGTTCCTTCCTCATGGCACACGTCCTGGTGCCTGGCCCTGGGCAGGCTCAGCAGCCTTCCTCCAGCACAGTCTTCCTCCAGTCCCACCGTGCTGCTGGGAGTAGCCCATGTGCTCCCTCCCTCCCTTCTCCCTGCTCCCTTTCAGCATTTCCCTGTCTCCATTTCGGAGCAGAAAAGGGCCTAAGGGCAGCCAGTTCTTGGCCGCTGCCTCAGTAAGGCCAGGACCTTCCCAGGGGTCAGCAGGAGCGGGAGAGGGATGCTGAGCGCGGCCCGTATCCCCCAGCCCAGGCCTGCCCCCAGGACCCCAAGGAGCCAGCGGGCTCCCCAGAACCCCTGCCCTGGCCTCCCCAAAACCTGGCAGCACCCAGGCAAGGAGCAGCCCAGCTCCTGGGGAGAGATTGACCGGAGGGCCGCCCCACTGCCCCCACACCCAGAGGCAGGCAGGGGGGCAGAACAAGATGCAGGCAGGAGCATGGGGGTCCGTGGGGGGCACCTCAGCCCCGCTGAGCTCCCCGTGCAGCCACGGCTGTGCCACCACGGCTGAGAACGATTCACAGCAGCTGCTCCCCACTCCTTGCTCTCCTCCAGACACTGTGAGCTGCCTCCTACCCCCGTGCCCGTTCCCTGCCCGTCCCTGCCTGCTTGCTTGCTGTCTAGTGCTGCTGAGGCCGTGCCTAGCTGAGCTCTGGCTGCGCCCAGCTCCCCGGGCTTGCTGGTGAGCGCCAGAGCGGGCGCAGAGCCCAGCCGGCAGAGCGCGGATGCGTCTCGAGTCTCATTTTTTTGTGAACATTTGTAGTTGTTTCCACAGCTTATCGTAAAAGAAATTCTGTTAAGGGGGAAAAGAAAAAGAACCCGACGAAAAGCACCACCAACAACAGAACCCCTATCCTCCAGGAGTGTTCCTCTGTCTGCACAATAAAAACCCTGGGTTGTGTGTTGGAGCCACGGCCACCTGTGTGCGCGGCAGCGGGGCCAGGGGCCGCGGCAGGGCTGGGATCCCACTCTGGCCCGCAGCAAGGGCAGGGACAGCCTGTGCCCTCAGCCTCCCAGCCTGGGGGGACACCCTTCCCGGGCAGCCCCCACCATGCCTCCCCCTGGCCTCCAGCACCCCGAGCCCTGCAGGAGAGAAGCAGGTAGTTGCCTTCCTTGCCTGGAGGGCAACCTCCTCCTGCCCCCCTGGAGCCCGTGCCTCTGTGCCCAGCCCTTTGCCCCTGTCCCTGTCCCGGGCTCCATCCCAGAGCCACCCCCCTCGCCCCAGTGTGAGCTCAGGGCCAGGGAGCGGGGTAGGTACCAGGGGGCACGCCGGGGCTGGTCCTGGCCCAGCCATCCTCCGGGGAGGGAATTGCCCTGGCTGGGAGTGCGTGTGGGAGCGGGGCCGGGTGTTCACGGGTGTCCCAAAGTTGCTGGCCCTGGGGTGGCGTGCCTGTCATGCCAGGGTGACGCCAGCGTGATGCCTGGGGGGCCCCCGCATCCTCTTGAGCCGTTTGCTGCTCCCTGCCCGAGTCAAGATGCTGCCCTGGGAGCCAGGGGCTGTGGGGCGGCCTCATCCTTGGGTTTGGGAGCAGGGCCCTGCCACCACCCCTAACACCACGGGTGACCCCACAGCAGCCTCCCAGAGTGACAAGCAGACATGTCCCTCGCGTGGCCCTCCCTCTTTAAGGGCTGGAGCCAGGCAGGAGGGAGGAAAATGCCACCATAATTGCATCCCTCCTAATTATCCTCAGCAGGTGCTCACTGAGTCACGGCCGCCCAGGTGCCGGCGCACCGTGAGGCCTCCCTGGGTGGGTCAGGCGTCCGGGAGTGGTGCTGGGTGGGTGCCCCGGTGTCCCTGTGGAGTCACGAGAGGTGGGTGCTCCTGCGCCCACACCGCCACGCCGTCTGCCCCGTGCCCACCTCTCCTGCAGGCTGAGGGGTCTCTTCTCCCTGCAGCTTGCCCCAAGGTGAGGCAAAACCCGGACCACGTCTCCCCCTCCCCTTGATGCTCTGCCCCAGACCTTACCAGCAGCCACAGCCCCCCCCTTTTTCTGCCTCCCTGACCTCCACACCAAATTGTGTCCCACCCTGCTCCCTCTCTTAACCCTCCATCCATCCTTTCCCTCCTGGACCTCCACCTCCCACCCCAGATCTCTCCCCTCCCCACAGTTCCCCTCAGTCATCCGTCTCCATTCCCAGAGCCCCACCTGCCTCCGCAGACTCCCCTCCCAGCGCCCCTTGTGCCACGGGCCGCCAGCCCCCTCAGGTTCACGTCCCCTTTAAGTCTTCTTGAAGCTGGAATGCGAGAGGAGCATTTCAGTGCCCTGTGAGGTCAGATAAAGACACTATATTTATCTAGCCGGTAACCTGAGCTGTGAATTTCTGCGGTGGCGTTTTTACGCGGCCCCACAGCCCTCCAGTTCGGCCCCCTCCGGCCATTGCGTCCGCTCCCTGCGGGGTGGAGGAGCTGAGCTGTGGGGTGGCCCCTTCCCTGCAAAGGGCTCAGGGGCTGCCAGCCCCTCGGCATCGCTCGCTCCCTCCGGCCGCAGGGGAAGCGCCCCGAGGAGGCAGGATCAGGTCCCCGCGCTCAGCCCCGCGGGCGTCACCCCATGAGCAGCCGCTCGGCCCCCGCCGTGCCAGCCCCGTGCCCCTGAGCAGCCACCGGCCGCCTGCCCCACCGACCCGACACAGGTGAGTGACGGGGGTGCTGTGGGGACACCAGCTCCGGGGAGGGGAGAGATTTGGTCACAGACTGAGAGGCACCAGCAAAACTGCCCCCCTCTTTCTTCAGCTGGGGAGAGGTTTGGAGTCTCTGCTCCTCCAGAGAGCAGGTTCAGAGTTCACCCACAAAAACTTGGCAGCTCTCCGGCAGCGAGCCGCGCTCCCCGGCACCTTCCTCGTCCCCCAGCACGGGCAGAGCCGCGCGCCCAGGCACATCCCTGGGGTCCCTTCTTTTTTTCCACCTGCAGACCTCAAAGCAATAACATGCCCCGGGTATTACGTCAAGGTTCCCCGTGGGTTTGGGGTTTTACTTCCTGGGGGGTGGCCCCGGAGCGATGAGTAGCAGGTTCTGCAGCCGGGTGGGTATGTGTCAGCAGCACAGAGCCGGGCCAGGGCAATGACTCCCAGCCAGCACATGTGGTGTGAGTTTGAGGGTTCTCAGGCTCAGTGGCCGGGAGGGACAGGGCCCTGTCCGGTCTGGCCCCAGCCGCACGTGTGACCTTGGGCAGGTAACGTCACTCTGGGGTGTGCGAGTGCACGGGGCGGGGGGGCAGTGCTGGAACCAAGGTGGCTTCTCCCCGAGTGCTGGAGCAGGGCTGCGAGAAGGGCTGCCAGCAGCACTCCCGGGCGTTGGGGTCTCTCTCTGCTGACCGGGGACACCCCTGCGAGACTCTGGTCCCTTGCAGGGAGCAAAGACTGCAGCATATTGACCCAGGGCTGCTCAGGGCCACCCTCCCTAGAGGGAAACGCAGACACCCAGAGGGCCTTGTCCCCCTCAGGGAATGGGCAGGAGGCTGTGCCACCCCTCTGGCACTGCCAGGTGGACACAGAGCACCCCCCCAAACCATTTGAAGGCTGGAGCAGGCAGGGTGCTTCGCACAGGGTCCCCCTTGTGCTTCTGCTGAGACTGGGAGCTCCCACGTAACCTCCAGGCTGGGACATTGTGTCTCAGGGGACAGGGGACACAGCTCCAAGCCTGCGTAAGCGAGAAGCAGCTGTGCCGTAACACCTTGGATGGAGCCAGTGCTGCGTAAGCTGAGCCCGCTCTGGGGCTCCACGGCCGCCGAGGGGGACGGCCGCCACCGGCCCCAAGCAGGAGGGTCCCGGCAGAGGACAGCGCCTGGAGAAGGAGCAGGGTCTCTGCTCCTCTTCCTCCAGGCTGAAGGGTTTGCCCCCCAGCTTTGCGCTGAGCCTCCCAGCGGGACGGCTGTCGGGAGGCCAGGGCAGGACTCCCCTGCAGCCTGAGCAGCCCCGCGGTGCCCCGGGTCCCAGGTCCCTGGCACTGGCTGCCTGGCCATGTGATGGCTGACCGGACATTCCTGTGCCTCAGCTTCCCCCGACACCTCAGGAGGATGATGAGGGTGCAGGAGGCCTGACTCAGCCATGCCAGCCCCAGGGCTTTGCCAGGCAGCAGGAAAGCTCAGCACTATGACAGGCAGGGAGGGGCCAGGCAGGCCAGGAAGCGATGGGAGGAACCGGGGTTTTCTCACACCCCCTCAGCTCCTCTGGCTCCTGGCATGCTCTGCGCTCCCGCAGCCCCGAGGTCCCCCCTGATGTGACACGGGGACTCCGCAGCGCAGGCAGTCCTACCAGATGCGGCAGTCCTCCGCGGTAAGACCTCTCTTCCCCCAGCGCCCATGGGTTAGGCGCTGTGTCTGGGGCAGGTTTTCCCGCCGGGGCCCCACATCCCTCCATCAGCTCCCCGGCATCCCCAGGGCACGTGCTGCCCTGGGCAGACCTGTCCTGCTGCCAGAAAGCACCTGCAGCTCTCCCGCTCCCACGCCGGCGGCTCTCCGGGGGACAGAGACCCTTGGGGACCTGCTGCTGGTGCCACCGGTGGCACAGCACAGTGGGAGGGCGCGGGCACTGCTGGCAGTGGGCGATGATGGCACGGGATGCCATCGGGGAGCACAAGTGCTGCTGGCGGTGGGTGATGGGATGGGGCTGTCCCGGCACTGAGGCACCTGTCCCAGGCCCAGATCATCTCTGCTGGCTCAGGGGACAGGGACCGGGGCAGCCCAGAGAGGGTCCCTGTGCCAGGCTGCTCCCCATCCCAGCAAGGCAGGCGGCCAGGCGTGTGCTCCCTGGGAGCCAAGGGGCTCTGTCCCTCTCACTCCAGTGCCTGTGAGGGGTACCAGTCCCTTGGCCAGGGTCCCACGTCCTTCCGAGCAAAGTACCCCTCTATGCATCTCAAATCCCGGCTGGCAGAGCCACTCCTGGGCCCTCCCAGTGCTGGCATGGGCAGCCGCAGCCTGGCCGGGCAGAGCCGGGTGTTTTGTGGAGTCCTTGCCTGGGAGCAGATTATTCACCCCTCAGCCTCCATTCCCAAACAGGTCTGTGCGCTCCACCTTGCTCTTGCTTGTAAATAGTTTTCGCTCCGCTGTGGGATGGTTTGTTCCCTGGGCAATAACGACAGCGTGCGGCCAGGATGCAGCCAGCTGGCTGGAAAGCTAGGCTGCCCGCCAGCAGGCCGTGGTGCCTGGATGGGGCTTCTCACCACCGTCTCCTAAAAGCAGTCCCGGCGCATTCCCATGCCGGGGTGAGACGGGCAGGGGCGGCTGGGAGAGGTGACACTGCGGCCACCTCGCCCCCCACCCCAGGCTCTGTGGAGCCAGAAGGGCTCGTCCCTGCGACTCGTGGCTCCCTTCAGCCACTCTGGTTTCATGGGGATCGCTTTCAGCCGCCTGCTGTGGAAAATGCAGGGCACTGTGGCTGCGGCACAGAGGCTCGGAGGGGCTCCTGTCCCCGGGGTGACGCTTGCAGAGGGCTCCCCCGGGCAGGGGGTCCCACTGGGGACAGGTATGCCTGGGGCCTCCTGGGCTCTGAGCAGGAGCCTGGGTTCCCCCCAGGGTCAGGCACGGAGTGATGCTGCAGTGGCTTCTCGTGCTGGGGACCCAGTGCCCGTCCCCAAGCCTGGATGTCCCATGTGTGCTGCCAGGGCTGCGCGAGGGACGGGCCAGGCGCCGTCTCCGTCACCTTCTGGCTTGGAGCTGGGCCAGAGCCCGCCCCGGCTGGGCTGGGAAAAGCCTTTGAATCAGGGTCATCTCCCGGGTGACTGGAGACTCTCGGAGCCACATGAGCCACTGTCCTGCCGGGGAAGGGACACCAGGCACCTGGGGAGCCAAGTGCCAGCAACGCCAGGACAGAGGAGCTCGGCCGGGGTCCTGCCCGCTCCAGTGCCAGCCACAGCCCCAGGACAGGTAGGGGACGAGCCACCAGCCTGCAAGTGTGGGTGCCGAGAGCAAACTTCCCTCCGGCCCAGACAGCCCGTGTCTGCAGGCGCGGGAGGCTGCTGGCTGCCACGCTGCCCTGTCCCGGCTCCGGGCTGGCTCCGCGTGTCCTCTGGGCGCCTCCGTCCTTGTGCACCGTGTGCTCCTCTCCTGCCTGTGCGGGTGCCATGGGGCAGGAGCCACCAGCTCCCTGTGGGGACTGAGTGCTGGGCTGTCACCCACCCGTACAGGCTGGCTCTGCCCGGCTGGTGGGGGCACAGCAGCCGCCTCGCCGGGAGGACGCGTGTCAGCTTGAATAACTGATGGGAGGCTAGCAGGGCGCACTGCGGCAGGGAGACGGGCAGGCTGCCTGGGTGGCCAGGTCCCTGCAGCGAGGGGAGCCCTGTCTGCGCCCACAGTCCCCCCAAGGCCCCTGGGGGGTGGTCGTGGCTGCACCAAGGTCTGCAGTGACCTGGTGCCAGGCACCAAGCGGGGAGCAGGGATGGATGGCAACTGGCCTTGCCTCAGTTTCCCTCTCAGTGAAACAGGGTGTGTGTTAGCAGCCAGCTGGGAATGCCAGCCCCCTGCCGAGCCCCAGCACTCACTCTGAATAACCAGGGGAAGGTGCTGGGCTGGCTGGACCACTCCGTCCTGCCTGGCTATCTCAGCCAGGCCTAAGCATCGTGACTGTGACCAGGCAGCTGCCTCCCATCTGGAGGAGCACTGGGGGCACCTCTCCAGCCCCAAGAGTAGGACGGCCACAGGATGATGTGGTAAGGATGGCAGGGCTGGGGTAGAGGTGACTGCTGCGGTCCCTCGGCTTCAGAGACTGTGGGTGCCAGGACACGGGGTGCCTCTGGCTGTGCCCTGGGGCTCCCTTCTGTGGTATGAGGTGCCTGAAGGCATATGGGTGGCAGTGCCAGCTGGGCCCTGCTGCCCCAGGCTCTCCAGGAGCTATGCCCACTGGCAGGAGCTATGCCCACACTGCACCCCCACAGCCCCCCCCCTGCATCCTTCATCCCCTGGGTCTGCAGACAAGGCAGGACCCAGCGAGCTACTGGTGGTGGGTGCCCCATTGTGCTGACCGTGGCCTGTGGAAGCTGACCCCTGGGCTCTTCTCTTGCAGTCAATGCCTCCAAGAGAGCCCACTGAGTCCCAGCCTCCAGCATGTCCCAGCTTTCCTCCACCCTGAAGCGGTACGTCGACTCATCCCGCTACGCCGAGAGCACTTACAGCAAGGTGCCCAGCGGTTACAGCTCCTACACCTCCTATGGATCCACCTTGGCCACATCCTATGCGGACAGCGACAAAATCGGCTTCAAAACCAGCTACCTGGCCTCCCCCCGGTACCATCCCACGGGGCTGTCCCCAAGCAGTGGCTATGACAGCAGCCGGCTGCCACTGTACCCCGAGTCCAGCATCCGTCTGAGCCCCACGTACATCCGCGCCCAGCCCCGGCCGCCTGGCAGTGGGCTGAGCGGAGGCGCGTGCTACACCTTCGCAGGGGCCCCCAGCAGCCCTCCCGGCTACCTACCTGCCACAGCGCCTCTCAGTCGTCACAAATCCATCAGCCACTCGGACCTGGCACGGGAGTTTTCGGGGCTGCACGCCTCGGACAGCGCCTACGCACCCACCGCCGGCCCCCTCAGCACCCGGGGCCGCCAGGAGCTCGGCACCCTGCAGGGTCTGTACCATGCTGCCGCACGCTCCGACTACGTCCGTGGCTACCTGGAGAGCTACGGGAGGAAAAGCGGCCACAGCAGCCTCCCCACGGGCCCCCTCAGCCCCTCGCAGGCCACCCTTGGCTCTGCCCTGCCGCCCTCGGGCACCCGCTGTGCCAGCCAGCCCTGCGAGAGGAATGATGGCTACAGCGACGTGCCCGCCCGGGACCCCACGGTACGTGGCACCTGCTGGGGGTGGGGGCAAAGCTGCGCTGCAGGGGGGGGTCTGTGGTCTGTGCCCGCTTGTGCTGAGCCAGGGAGCTCGAGGCACCTTGCATGCTCTCCTGGGAATCTCGGTGCGCTGCTCCGTGCCTCAGTTCCTGCCGGGCTGCTGCTGATCCTTCGAGCCACCCTTGCTGGCACAGCAGTCCTGGCCCAGAGCTGCTGAGACAGCCGGGTGCGGGCAGGGGGTGTCCTCTGGGGGGCTGTGCTCCTCACTGGTGCCGGAGCACAGCTGGCGGGGGTCCCCATGGGAACCTTGCGGCTAAGGGTGCCCCCGTGCTGGCAGGAGCGTGTGCGCGGCACCTTTCTGCTTGTGAGCGTGACAGCAGGTGATGGCACGCGCAGGCGAACTCACAGCCCCGTGCGTGCAAAGCTGTGTGCACCGTGTCCCCACACAGCCGACTGTGCCCACACCCCCTGCCCACTGCTCCCTCCCCGTGCGGGGCCAAGGAAGGTTTCCTGCTGCCTCATTCCAGCAGGAGAAGGTGACGTGACTGGGCTGGGCACTCATCCTGCTGGAGACACCCAGCTGGGAAGGCTGGTTTGGCTGGTGCTGGCTCTGGCACAGCGAGTGGGTGCCCAGCTGCCAGTCAGGTTTTTCTCTGGGGCTCTGTGATGTCTGATCCCTGGCACGGTCTGTTTCTGCCGTCTCGGCGCCCGGTGCCCCAACCCCAGCGTGGGCTGTGGCAGCCAGGGAGGGAAGCAGCGGCTTCTCCAAGGCAGTGGCTGCTCTGCACAGCATCGCACGTGGTGCCAGGCACTCGGTGCCCCAGGTATCAGTCGGTGCTGCACCATCCCCAGAGCCTCAGCCCGGGCTGGGAGCAGGCACCACACACACAGCCCGGCTCGGGCGCGCAGGGGAGCAGCCTGGTAATTTTCCACTCAGGTTTCCTTCCAAGAGCTGGTCAGGCTCTGCCCGCATTGTCTCCCACTCTCTTTCCAGCCAGCCTTCATTCACCCGTGGTGGAGGCCCGTCTGCCCTGGCACAGGGTCTGACCTGCCCTTTGCTTCCCTGCAGCTTTGTCCCACCATCGGCCACCAAACCGGGAGGATAAAGGCTGGGGGATTCTTTTCTGCTTCCCTATGAGCAGGAGAGGAAGCTCTTTCCCCATCCAACCAGTGCCCCCACGTCCCTGCCCGTGCCCAGGGGCCTGAGAAAAGGGCTGTGGGAGCAGCCTGGAGGTCTGGCCCATGCGCTTGGCCGGGGGAGGCACAGCTGGAGGTGTGGGGTAGGGAGAGAGGCGGCTGCTTGTCCACCACGTGCCCACAGCTGGGGCTCAGCGGCAAAGGTCTCCCCCTTTTCCTCCTGTAGACGTCCATCCCATTCCTGGCAGGGCTGGGTCCCCTCTCCCTGGCACTCACCGGGGTTTTAAACACCCGCCTGAGCCCCCAGGCACAGGAGCAGGGGCAGCGGAGGGGGTGCAGCATCAAATCCTGCTGCCAGCAGCTCGCCTGCCCCTTCCCAGCACCCTCCAAGCTGCACCCCATGCAGCTCCAGCAGTGCCCCGCCCTGCTGTGGGACCCCAGTGCTCCACCTGCGCGGTCCCTGGCCCCCAGCCCTGGAGTGAGGGACTAGGTTGGGAGGGCAGGGGGAGGTGGAGGAGCTGTGGAAAGGAATTCCTGCCTCCCCCTCCCACACCAGGCCCTGGTGGGGGGGACCAAGGGGGGCACCCAGCAGCCTCCACCAGCCACGGGCGCTCGCTAAAGCCCTCGCCACCACTGCTAGGACAGGGGTGCCCGCCCCGTGTACCCACACACTGCTCTGGTGTGGGTGCCAGCCTGCTGCCGTGGGATGGCCAAGGGGCAGCAGGGGCTGAGCTGCTCCCAAACTGCGGCCTCATGCTCTGCATGTGAAGGCAGCCAGGGGCTTTCCAGCCGGGGCTGACAGGGAGCGAAGGTGAGCAGGGCTTGGCAGCTGCCACAGGGTGCTGGGGCGGGCACCCGTGCCGGGGCAGCGGGGTGGCTGGATCGGTGACACTGGCTTAGGTTTCCTCGGTGCTTTGATGGGCACACCTGCTATTTTCCACTCCTGTGCTTTTTTTCCTTCACTTTCCCAAGCTGGGAAGCAAATGTACCGATCGTAAAACAGACTCGGGCGCCTGCGGTCGTGCCAAGTGCCGGAAACAAGCGCATGTTGCAGCCCCGGCGCTGCCATCGGTTCTGCCCCATTACCCAGCCCCGAGGGCCGTGCCAGCAGCACCCGCTCCCACCGGAGCCGGGGCACGGCGGGGCTGACTCAGTGCCTCCTCCCACCCCTTCTTCCCCAGCCGCCTCCTGCCTCAGCACCACGCAAACCACCCTCCAGAGGAGTTTGCAGCCAGGAGGTGAGAGTGCCACAGTCGCTCCTACCCACACCATTGCTCTGTGCCTCAGTTTACCATCCCGCAGGGCAAAGGGAGGCACGTGCAGCCGCAGCGAGCGGCTGTGCCTGCCGAGCCGCTGGCTCCAAGCAGGGCCATGCTGGCTCCCCTGGCGAGGGGCAGGACTGGAGCTGTGCCGCCCCATTAACCACCCTGGGTGAACATAGGGTCAGAAGGCCAGAGCCACCCACAAAACCGCCAGCAGCTCTCCGCAGCCCCATCCTGAGCAGCTGACGTCTCTGGCCTGCAGCCAGTCCTGGCCCTGCCTGCCTTCGCGGTGCCAAGCGGGCCTGTGGCAACCTCTGCCCATGGCAGAAGGTCACCGCTGCAAAGGGGACAGCTGATGGCAGGGAGATGGCTCTCAGCGATGCCATCCTGCCAGGTCTCCCCTTCCCTCTCCTGCTCCAGCCTTGCCCCGAGAGCCCGTGTGCCACTCTGCCTGGAGGGGAATATGGTCCTTGGCCCAGGGCGCTCGATGTCACCAGGGCACGAGGTTTGGCACGAGATGTGGATGAACGCCACCCCTCTTGCCATGAAACCGGCTCTGCCCGCACGGTGCATCCCCAGGGAGAGTGCTGCACCAGCACCCTGCGCCGTGTTTGGGGCAGGCTCTGCACCAGGGCAAATCCTGTCCCCAGGGCCACCCACCGGCCCACAGGGCAGGGTGGTAGGAGCCCCAGCTGGCGCGTGCGGCACTGGTACAGCGGGACCGGCACTGGGGCTGCAGGAGGGCGTTGCAGGGCACCCAGACCGTCTGCGTGAGGCCGGTGGGGCGCGTGCCCCCGTGGGCACACGGTGTCCCGGCGTGTGTATGGTGTACACACCGCGGGCTGTGTATATATATACACATGCGCGCACATGCGGGCGGGGATTACGACAAGCATCTTGCTGTGATGCAAAAAGCCCTGGCCCTGCAGATGAATAACGCTGCAAGATGCCTCCTCAGATATTTTTGCTGGTGCCAAAAATAGTCTCCCTTCCTCCCCCCCCAACCAGTCAGCCCCTCCACTGGCTGTGCCGAGCTTGCGCCGCGGACAGGGGAGGCTGCATCTGCAGCAATTAGGATTCAAAGAGCAGCCACTGGCTCTGGCTGGGGGTGTACTGGTGGGGGCTGGCGTGGGGGGAAAGCAGCCTCTGCTCAGTGCCTGCAGCCCCCTTGGCGAGGCTGGAGGCTCTGGCTGTCCTCGGAGCAGCCTGACTGTGCTCCCTGCCTCAGTCGCCCATGGAAATTTCCCTGAGGCGGGCGGGTAAGACACCTGGGCACGCACAGCCTCCGTCTCTCGCCCTGCAGCGGTCAGAGGGGTGAAGCAGCGGGAGACGCAGGACAGCCGGGCTCCCTGCCAGCCTCCGCATCTGCCCTTGCTGCAGGAGAAGAGCTGGAGCCGTGCCTGCGCCGTGCCTCAGTTTACCCAGCGCTCAGAGGGGACGCACCAGATGGGGGTCTTTGCTCCAGGCAGGATTTAGGGGGGACTTTTTCCCCAGCGGAGGAGGCGAGACACTGAAATACCCTCTGAGCTCCATGGCAGTGCATCCCCCACAGAAGGGGGCACGCACTGTCCGCTGTTGCTCAGTTCCCTCAAAATGGCACTGCCGGGAGCCCGGCACTGGCCCTGCAGGGAAGGCGCATGCCAGGGAGCCCCCCAACCCCCTCAGACATCCCTCAGCCCCCCTCTGGGAACAGGCACCCCCTGCACCCACATGCTGTGGGAGTGTCCCAGTTTTACCGAGCCACTTTTGGCAAGTGACCCCGGCTGGGGCAGAGCCGCTCTCGGGCAAGCGCCGCTCAGCTCTCGGGCCACCACGTGCCCGGGGCCGGGGAGCCGGGGGGGGAGCACCGGGGGAGCAGACGCGCACTCCGTGCCCCATTGCCCCCGTGATGCCAGCGTGGCGTCGGGGGACGGGGACC